TATCTCTAACCCTAACTATAGCCTAACCCTAAGCCAGAGCCTAACTCTAACCCTTAACCTGAACCCCAACACTACCCCTAACCCTAACTATAGCCTAACCCTAAGCCAGAGCCTAACCCTAACCCCTAACCCTAACCCCAACACTATTCCTAACCCTAACTACAGCCTAACCCTAAGCCAGAGTCTAACCCTAACCCCTAACCCTAACCCCTTACCCCAACATTACCCCTAACCCTAACTATAGCCTAACCCTAAGCCAGAGCCTAACCCTAACTCTAACCTCAACACTAACCCTAACTATAGCCTAACCCCAAGCTAGAGCCTAAGCCTAACCCCAACACTACCCCTAACCCTAACTATAGCCTTACCCTAAGCCAGGGCCTTACCCTAGCCCCAACACTACCCTTAGCCCTAACTAAAGCCTAACCCTAAGCCCAAGCCTAACCCTAACCCCTAATCCTAACCTTGACTTAACCCTAAGTAATCAAATACAGTGTTCAGAATGATCATTTATCAATTGGGAGACCTATAATTGGAAATGTGTGTTGTTTTGGTTTTCTTTGATGAATATTCCCCAGGGTAGAACAACAACTGGAGAAAATGACCAATTTTTCTGTATCCTCCATACTAAATATTTCTCTGTAAACATTCAGAAGCAATAATAATGATTACAATTAGTTTATGTAATTGATAACACATGAATTGTTCTATCATTTGACAAAGTTTAATGTCACGATGGTCTGTACTATTTCCCAAAAGTGTCGAATAAGCATTTTTTCGCAAAAATCTACCCCGTGTTATTAAATATGCGCATAAATAAGAGATATTAATTGCCTATTTCTTTAAATTACAAAAATTGATTCTAGGCAAAATGTGCTTTCCAGATATAGCTCATTCAGCTCTGTACTACCTCCCCATCTCAAACTAGACACCTCCCAACACATCTAGCCATAGGTTCCAATTTTAGTCAATATCCCAGGAAAACATCTAATTGCAGAAAGGGGATGGGTAACTTTAATCATTCATATATCTGGAAAAAATAGTCGAATCTGCTTGCGGTTTGTATTATTTTACTAGAAAACAACTTGGGGTTACATTTTGGAGGAAATTACAATTGTAACTTAAAGGATGGGTCACTACTATCGCCCATTCTGGAGTACCACTTTTTTTTAATTTGGTCATATTTCTCAACTATTTTCAGTTTTTATTGGGACTTTCATTAATTTCATCTCTCTCAATGCGTTTGACAAAGTTTCATGTCACTATGGTCCATGCTTTTCCCCAAAAAGTGCTGAATAAGCATTTTTTCGCAAAAATTTACCCCGTGTTATTCAAATATGTGCATAAATTAGAGAAATTTATTGATTATTTTTCTAAATCACAAAAATTGATTCTAGGCAAAATGTGCTATCCAGATATAGCTCAATCAGCTCTGTAAGACCTCCCCAGCTCAAACTAGACATCTCCCAACACATCCGTCATAGGCTCCAACCAGGAGTCAACTTTTTGTTACTTTGGTCATATTTCTCCACTGTTTCCATGATTCTTATTGGAATTTTCACAAATTTTGCTCTAGAAGGCTAAATCATTGGCCATGACCTAACCCTAACCCCAACAATATCTCTAACCCTAACTATAGCCTAACCCTAAGCCAGAGCCTAACTCTAACCCTTAACCTGAACCCCAACACTACCCCTAACCCTAACTATAGCCTAACCCTAAGCCAGAGCCTAACCCTAACCCCTAACCCTAACCCCAACACTATTCCTAACCCTAACTACAGCCTAACCCTAAGCCAGAGTCTAACCCTAACCCCTAACCCTAACCCCTTACCCCAACATTACCCCTAACCCTAACTATAGCCTAACCCTAAGCCAGAGCCTAACCCTAACTCTAACCTCAACACTAACCCTAACTATAGCCTAACCCCAAGCTAGAGCCTAAGCCTAACCCCAACACTACCCCTAACCCTAACTATAGCCTTACCCTAAGCCAGGGCCTTACCCTAGCCCCAACACTACCCTTAGCCCTAACTAAAGCCTAACCCTAAGCCCAAGCCTAACCCTAACCCCTAATCCTAACCTTGACTTAACCCTAAGTAATCAAATACAGTGTTCAGAATGATCATTTATCAATTGGGAGACCTATAATTGGAAATGTGTGTTGTTTTGGTTTTCTTTGATGAATATTCCCCAGGGTAGAACAACAACTGGAGAAAATGACCAATTTTTCTGTATCCTCCATACTAAATATTTCTCTGTAAACATTCAGAAGCAATAATAATGATTACAATTAGTTTATGTAATTGATAACACATGAATTGTTCTATCATTTGACAAAGTTTAATGTCACGATGGTCTGTACTATTTCCCAAAAGTGTCGAATAAGCATTTTTTCGCAAAAATCTACCCCGTGTTATTAAATATGCGCATAAATAAGAGATATTAATTGCCTATTTCTTTAAATTACAAAAATTGATTCTAGGCAAAATGTGCTTTCCAGATATAGCTCATTCAGCTCTGTACTACCTCCCCATCTCAAACTAGACACCTCCCAACACATCTAGCCATAGGTTCCAATTTTAGTCAATATCCCAGGAAAACATCTAATTGCAGAAAGGGGATGGGTAACTTTAATCATTCATATATCTGGAAAAAATAGTCGAATCTGCTTGCGGTTTGTATTATTTTACTAGAAAACAACTTGGGGTTACATTTTGGAGGAAATTACAATTGTAACTTAAAGGATGGGTCACTACTATCGCCCATTCTGGAGTACCACTTTTTTTTAATTTGGTCATATTTCTCAACTATTTTCAGTTTTTATTGGGACTTTCATTAATTTCATCTCTCTCAATGCGTTTGACAAAGTTTCATGTCACTATGGTCCATGCTTTTCCCCAAAAAGTGCTGAATAAGCATTTTTTCGCAAAAATTTACCCCGTGTTATTCAAATATGTGCATAAATTAGAGAAATTTATTGATTATTTTTCTAAATCACAAAAATTGATTCTAGGCAAAATGTGCTATCCAGATATAGCTCAATCAGCTCTGTAAGACCTCCCCAGCTCAAACTAGACATCTCCCAACACATCCGTCATAGGCTCCAACCAGGAGTCAACTTTTTGTTACTTTGGTCATATTTCTCCACTGTTTCCATGATTCTTATTGGAATTTTCACAAATTTTGCTCTAGAAGGCTAAATCATTGGCCATGACCTAACCCTAACCCCAACAATATCTCTAACCCTAACTATAGCCTAACCCTAAGCCAGAGCCTAACTCTAACCCTTAACCTGAACCCCAACACTACCCCTAACCCTAACTATAGCCTAACCCTAAGCCAGAGCCTAACCCTAACCCCTAACCCTAACCCCAACACTATTCCTAACCCTAACTACAGCCTAACCCTAAGCCAGAGTCTAACCCTAACCCCTAACCCTAACCCCTTACCCCAACATTACCCCTAACCCTAACTATAGCCTAACCCTAAGCCAGAGCCTAACCCTAACTCTAACCTCAACACTAACCCTAACTATAGCCTAACCCCAAGCTAGAGCCTAAGCCTAACCCCAACACTACCCCTAACCCTAACTATAGCCTTACCCTAAGCCAGGGCCTTACCCTAGCCCCAACACTACCCTTAGCCCTAACTAAAGCCTAACCCTAAGCCCAAGCCTAACCCTAACCCCTAATCCTAACCTTGACTTAACCCTAAGTAATCAAATACAGTGTTCAGAATGATCATTTATCAATTGGGAGACCTATAATTGGAAATGTGTGTTGTTTTGGTTTTCTTTGATGAATATTCCCCAGGGTAGAACAACAACTGGAGAAAATGACCAATTTTTCTGTATCCTCCATACTAAATATTTCTCTGTAAACATTCAGAAGCAATAATAATGATTACAATTAGTTTATGTAATTGATAACACATGAATTGTTCTATCATTTGACAAAGTTTAATGTCACGATGGTCTGTACTATTTCCCAAAAGTGTCGAATAAGCATTTTTTCGCAAAAATCTACCCCGTGTTATTAAATATGCGCATAAATAAGAGATATTAATTGCCTATTTCTTTAAATTACAAAAATTGATTCTAGGCAAAATGTGCTTTCCAGATATAGCTCATTCAGCTCTGTACTACCTCCCCATCTCAAACTAGACACCTCCCAACACATCTAGCCATAGGTTCCAATTTTAGTCAATATCCCAGGAAAACATCTAATTGCAGAAAGGGGATGGGTAACTTTAATCATTCATATATCTGGAAAAAATAGTCGAATCTGCTTGCGGTTTGTATTATTTTACTAGAAAACAACTTGGGGTTACATTTTGGAGGAAATTACAATTGTAACTTAAAGGATGGGTCACTACTAGGAGACACACAACCATTAGATCCTTCCGCCGAGTGGGAAGACGAATAGATGGCATTATAAAAACAAAAATATAGTCCAATTATTGTAATTACATTAGCATCACCAGTGGTTGGATTTTGGTAAGTACATGAATGAAAAAGTGTATGTGTGGACCAACTCTGAGACATGATTTGATGTGATTAAGGTGCATTTTCTTTAAAAAATGTGACCTTTTTGACCTGCCTCCATCTGTCAAAATCAGAATGACATTTTTTGACATTTTCTATAGATGGCGTCTTCAACAGGTGAGATCTTTTGATTTTCGTGGGGAGTTTTGATTCAAACTTTTTTGACTGACAGAGGACATACTGGGGTATGATGCAATGATAGCAAAACATGTCCACAAATCTTAGTTTTCTCTTGAAGACAGATCGTTTGTATGGGAATACGCATGTTATAACAATTAGTTGGGTGAACCCGTAGTAAAACATGCTCACATCGGAACTATTTTGACCTACATCGCTATTTTCGTAATTCAAATGAAAGTTGAACTCCTCTTTATTTTGATACCAAAAAGTGGCATACTAGGTACCCTAGAAGCCAACTATGGCGTTATTTAGAACAATACTACAGGTAGGACTATATACCTTTTGGCGGATGGATATGGAACCTCATACCCTGAAAGAAAACCTCGAAGGGGATTACCCTATTTTTATTAGGGAATCCCACGGATGGTGAGATGGGAAGTTCAGAATCCCATGATTCTGGAAATTTTGCTATAAAAGTAGGGGACGAAATCCATGAGACCATTGTCAAGATCTTGCACATTGTTTTCAGGGTGAAATGGAACTCCATACACAGGTAATGTCTGCGCTGCTCGGGATAGTAGCAGTCAATGAACTTCTGAAGAGACTTGGAATGCCTCACCTACGCATCAGCACAAGTGCAACGCAGGTTAGAAACAATCAAAGGAAGACATAACATGACTACTTGGTAATGTGATAAGAAAAATGCGTTGAATCATTGCTCCATGTCCAGAATCGCCATTACTAATTAGAAAGATGACTCAGGGTGATACCCCGAGTGATTGTTTTTGTTCATAGGGGTTAAAATGTAAGGCAGATGTTCAAGAAAACAATTTTGAAAAATTGCTATACCTGCACATGTTATTTTCTGCTACAAAATAAATTATGAAGACATGGGTGCACTTATTTTATCGAACAAGCATCCTTGTTGCATCTTTGTTTAGTGCCTTAAAATAGTGACAATCTATTCAATGACGAACAGATTACTCTGTATTGATTGCTCGTATGTAATGTCAAGATTTAATTCAAACAGAAGCAATGAAAAGAATTTCAAAGAAGTTCTAACATGTACCAAAGAACCATTAACTTAAAATTAGTTATCATCACATCATCAATTGCAAACATCAGGTAATTGTGATTTCTTCGGGTTTGCATTGCCAGCCTTCTTCGAGTGAATCATCTGACCCTTTGGCTGACACCAATGAAGTGTCAACCCTACGTAGAACAGACGACAGCACATCAGCATCCAATGATTACAATGATGGGTTGGAAGAAAGGGCAGGAATCGAAGAGGAGGGAGGGGGTGACACGTCTGAAGTTCAGGAATTCCCACATGGTGCCATGTCACATGGGGTTCAACTATGTAAAGGTTAATATTTATTCAGGTTTAAACCAGAGATATAATTACCAAAACATGTACAAATTACTTATAAATAATCATGTTCTTGTTTGAAATATATATTTTTTAAATTGCCATTGTATGTTTTAGAAGAGACAACAGTTGACGTTAGGCAATGCCACAACGTCCAGGTTGGATCTGGGACAAATATCATTAACAATTACATTCAAGGTAAAGCTATTAGTGAAAATATGAAACAACGGGTGGCATTAAGATAGACCAAAACATTAAAAGTAACATCTTGGACTATAATAGGTCATAAGGGAAGAAATCACCCAAACCCCTTCTATCCTCCAACATTCAGAGAAACATCATCGAGGGATAGCACATTTAATACATTGGTGATAAAATTCTTAAAATTGTGTATTATGTAACCAATATTATCAATCAGCTCAATTTGACCAATACTCAATACTTTCAGGTTTTAAGTTTCATATTGGACATGTGTATGCAGCAAATTACTTCTTTGCATACCTGAAGATTGTCATTCAACAAAATCAACGGCATGTAGGTAGGTTACTTTTTCTCTTTGTAAAAGGGTATTTTGTGTTAAAAGTGTTCTGACAATTAGTTATAATGTAACCTTTTTATGCATTTTAATTTTTAAATATATCTTATGTTCCTTCATCTTACGAAAAAAATAATAGCAAAATGACATACAGTTTCATATAGTATTTTTTATTGTGAATGGACTGAATACATGATATTTATTCAAAATTGATAATATATCAATATCAGGAACAACTAATATATAATAGTGTCATATTGGATTGCCAAGGTATGCAAATCAAACTGGTAAGCGACTATGTAATAATGTACCCATAAAGTGATCTTAGAGAGAAAGAATGTTGCTGGGGGAATACTCATGAAATACATGTAGAAAATAAACTTCATGCCTACCCCTGAAGATGATGTATTGCCGAGGGACTGAATCAATATCCATTTACCCATTTAAAGGGACACTGCTTGTAAGGTAGTTCTTACGTCAATTTGTTTTTGATGCCTGCCCCGGAAGATGATAGATATATTGCTGAGACACTGATATAATATCTATTTAGCCATTAAAGGGACACTCCTTAAGACTTGTAAGATAGTTCTCATCCTCAGTCATAAAAAAACATTTTACTTCATAATACTTAGTGATTTACACATCAGAGTTGAATACCTAGGTTTTGTGTTTTCAATATGTTGCTCTTTCTTTCCTACCTTTATAATGGTGTTTAATGTGTCCTCTAAATTGAATGCCTTTGTTAAATCTACTGCTGCATACAAACTGAGACGATTCTGGAACTTTTGCTGAGAACACCCATATTAAGATTCATTGATACATTAGGGGATATTTTATGATTTATGTTTTCAATATGTTGTCATTTGAATGATATTTTAATGATATTTTGATACATCGATTGATTGAATGGTCAAGATACTTAAGATAGTCATGAGTGAAGACTAACATACCCCTAAAATGATATTTAGAATGATTTGCATAATCTTAAACTTAAATGCACTGAATTATCTTAGTTTTAATCCCAATGACCTAATTTCGTTTTTGATGTGTTTATAATTGACAAAATTAACAATTTCTATGTTATGTCCAATGAAACCTTTTGGGTCATCTTTGGGTACATGGGATAACGGATCCTATATATTTGTATTATAAACATACCTATTAATGTATTTTAAGCTTTGGTATAAACTTTTAATGCTGATATTTTGTTATGCAAACTAATTCCCTTTAGGCTATTTGTCTTTGAATGTCGTGATTATATATTTCAGGATTGGAGGACAAAATTGAAATGTACATGAATGAAAAGAAATTGACAGAAAACAATATCAAAATGGCAAAAAAACTTTATATATTTGTACCTGAATGTGGAAACTGTCCAAAGTTAATGAGCGACAAGGACCCGAACATGAAGGAAACAGGATGCATCGAATTACAAGCAAATCGTGCAGGTTCTTCGAGGCCATACAAAAACACAGCGTGGTCATTTGAGAAGGGGCACCAGGTAGGGTATCAATTTGATATCATTTCTTTTTATGTTAAACAAATTATATACAGGGTGGGCCAAAAAAACGCCACTTTTTTTCAAGACACTATAACTTTTTTATTTCCCAACCTACATACCCCAAATTTTGCAGTTATATAGTGCCAAGGGTTCTTAGTAATAATATAATGTAACAAGTCCTTCAACTGGGATTATATTTGATCTAAAAGATGAGTTCAATTGGTCCGCCACCCTATTTGATGATAGATTTTAGTTTTAGTCGCCTTGCTGATAGAGCAGTATCAATAAAATGTTAGCTGTATATTTTTTTCAACGTGTCTTAGTTGCCAGCTTTAGTTGAGCAATTTTTTAGATTGGGTGCCTTCATACCATCTCCTGGAGACCTTCCCATACCCTTTTCTCACTTGGGTTTGCATTAGGGCTATTAGCTTGGCGGTCATCAGGCCGTATCAGTTCAGGAACATTTTGCAAATTATGCTTATTTCTCATGGCACACCGCATATTTAAGTGAGACGCTGGTGACATATTTTATTCAAGTAAAAGTGTATAATTCATGATCCATGGCTAGATAACAACCTCAAGTTTCATTTGGTATGCAAATTATGATTTTGTATCAAAAATTAAAAAAGTTATAGCATTTTGAAAAAAAAGTGGCGTTTTTTTGGCCCACCCTGTATAACTGTATTACGTTCTTTTAACAAAAGCAAACACTGAAATCACTATAACATTTTTCAGGTGTATCATGTGTTGGCGGAATATGCGTCCATCCTCCAAACGTTGACAGAGCTGCCAGGATTGGATGACGAAGATAGGAAAAGTACTACAAAGAACTTCAGTGAATCTCTCAAAATTTTCATCAGCAACACATTTGAGGATGACGGTTTTGTTGTTGAGCTATTGGACATTAATGATGCATCGCCCATGATATCTGATATCCTTGAAGAGAAAATAGAAAATGACCTTTAACACTTTAGTTAAGGAATACTGAAAGGCGTGACCTTGCAATAGGTCTTTGGCTTTCCTCATTTTCTTTTATAATATATAGTATTTCCAACATTTCCCATGCAATATAACAATCAAGAGTCAAGCTTATAAGCCAGAGCCAATATGTTGGCAATTTACCGGCACATTATGCTAGCATATTTTGACGTGCTTAAGCTGTACAAAGTATCATTAAAAACTTGTTGCTAAACTGTAAATATGTTTTCAAACATTATAACTGTAACAGTTTATTGGATGTTATCTACATTACTCTGTAATATAAGCAAAGAAATTACTTATAATTCACCATTTGAAGGAAGTGTTTAGAAAAATGTAAATTTTAAAAGCAGCAGATTTGTCACTTATAGCTTGAGTTATCTTTCCACACCTTACATGCCTTAAGTATTATCCATCAAATATAACATCAAAGGCAATAGATACTTATTTGATGAATGATGAATATTTCTGGGTAAATCTATCTATATACATACTTGTATATTATACGTATATTATTCCATTCAGTTATCTAAGCTAAACTGCATAATATGTGAAATATCATATTACGTAAGACTTAGCTTGTAACTTGCGTAATTTGTAAGTCGAATAAGGTATAAATAAATAAATAAAAAATTCAAAAATAACAAAATGTACAACATTACTCAAATAACTGAAAATTCAGAAAAATCCTCAGTATGTATTTTACCACACACACTAAATGGTGCTGTGTTAGCCAGAAAAGGGAGAAAATTACCACTAGTTTCCTCAGTCAGTCAGTGCATGAGCTTTGTTTATTATTATCGTTTGAAACTGGGAAACATTCACTATATACAGTGTGTCTCAAAAAATGTTTCACTTACAAAAAGTTCAATATCCTTCATGATTTTGACTTTTCCCCTAAAATATACTTAGATACCAAAAGACCAGCCGTTCTCGAATAAATCCACACCATCAGATTCAAAATCCGTCAGGACATATTTTATACACGCATGTGAAATCTGATTTGCGCCAACTTCTCAGTGGTTGGACTGTGGTGGTCAATTCTTTTTTTGGTAGGAATGCTGTGGACAGTGATATCTTGATATGATCAATGATCAAGTTGTTTCTTTCCTGAATAGAAATACAGCATTCAGTGGCGGATCCAGGAACCAACAAGGGGGGGGCCCAAATTTGAGAATGTAGAAAAAACCTCCGCGCTTGCGCGGAAAAAAATTTTGGGCCCCTAAAACCGAAAAAGTGGGCCCAAATTTTGAAAATTTGAGGCCCATTTTCTTCCAAATTTGGCCTAAATTAAAAAAATAAGGCCTTAGAAGGCCCAATAATGACCAAAAGGCCCACTTTTTGGGGCCTTAAGGCCTTTTTTGGCCTAAAATTTTTTTGGGCCCAACTTCTTTTTTTTTTGGGCCAACCTTAGGGGGGGGGCCCGGGCCCCATGGGCCCCCCCCCCGGATCCGCCATAGGCATTTCATTGTAAAAAGTTTAATTTCGGTAAGTATGATGGCAACAGGATGATGCAAAGGCCTGTGGCAGATCGTTTGGTAGAACTCTTTGGAAATCAGAAGATAGCATTGAATTACCCAATTGATTGGCCCCCAGGGTCATCCCACTTTACACCCTTGATTTTTGAAGGGCCTCTGAAAGCGCTCTACAGCATCACAAACTAACTTAATGAACTTCTACAAAAATAACTGACGGAATCAGTGTGATATTACAATGCATGTTCGCATGGACAAGATACCTTAGATCCTCAATTTTCCTTTCACATTCAACAAGTTGAGAGGACCTCATGTTTATGTGGATAGACCCAATGACCATATGTAAGAAAAATAGGAAAATAACAGAATGACTCAGTTAAAGGTCAAGCTTCTGCTCAGAAGAAAGTTAAATGTTAAAGAAACTGTTCCTCTTTTGTCATGTGGTCCATCCAATCACTTAGAAGTTGGCGCAAGTCAGATTTTACTATGGGACACTAAAAGCTGTCCTGTGGAGGCAATCAAGGACATATTTTGAATCTGATGGTGTCAAATTATTCGAGAAAGATTTGTGTTTTAATCCAAAGTACATTTTGGGGGAAAAGTCAAAATTATGAAAGAGACTTTTGAGATACTCTGTATATAGAAATGGGCGCTGTATTTACATCATAGCAGTTGTTTATATCTTATCATTCTGACAATACAAATGAAAATCTTTGCTTTTCTGTATAATATCGATTATTTCATTGACGATAGCTTCAAGTTCCCCAAACAATTAAACAAAATTAGCACTCGATGGATAAAGAATAAATTGCCATACAACTCCTTCAGAACAATCATTAACACGAGTAATTTTTTAAGATAATACCATATCGTCCCATTCTTTCCACATTGTTACAATTGCATTTTCGCTGCTTATATTGAGAAATCAGATGTTGAAGTTTAGGTCTTCATAACTTTTGAGTAGTAATTTTTTAAAAACTTATTTTCAATAATCATGTGTATATATAACCTTGCAGAGCAAAAATAACTGATTAACAAAAAATAAAACACATCTTTTTATGTGTTTTTTTGTTTTTGAAATATCAAAATAACTGAAAACTGATTTTTTTATTCGCTTCCATTTTGTTATTGTCTCGTATACCATTATTCTGTCCATCCAAGGACGTTTCAAAGTCTGGTGCTTACAGTTTGGCATCATCCCAAGACTTCGGTGGCCATTTTTGCTGTATGATATCCAACTGACGGCTGTAAAATCCATGAAGAACCTATGCAGCAGATTCTTTCGCAAATGGCTGGGTGTTCCACCAAACCTTTCTTCAGTCAACATCTACAGTAAAACCTTCAAGCTTACTCTGCCTGTAACAACAGTTACTGAAGAATTCAAGGCATCATAGACCAGAGCCCTCTGTACTCTCAAGGTATCCATGGATACTAGAGTTAACAAAGCTGTGAAATGTCGAACTTCATGGAATCCACAGGCAGCAGTAACTAACAGTGGAGTGAGACTGACGCCAAAGCCAGACGTGATAGGATTGTTCAACTAGTGAGAAAGGGAGAAATGCAGAGTCAAAGAGTCAAGGCAGTCCGGGAGGCAGTCACCTCAGTAAAACAAGTCAGATGGACCTCTGATCTCAAGGGTGCTACTAAGTCTATTCAGTGGTGGTGCGGCAGAGTACTGCTCCAAATGGCTGTGGCTGAAGCGGAATGACCAATGTTGCTCATCTACGGGTGAGGCTCTGTAAAGAACCTCATCGACCCACACGTGCTAGGTGTCCAGGTTATAATGGGTCGAAACACTGTCTGACGCACGTGCTACCTGCTGATGACGCAAGAGCACCAACCCCCAAGCCCACCCATCAGTCAAAAGCTAATGTCCCTTCCCAATATCTCTAGAGACACACCACTTTTGACTCAAGGAGTGTAGCGATGCATCATTATTGATGTTTACACAAATTAATTATATGAGGAATACCTCTCGGATGGTATCAATATTTCCCGGACATTATATTCAGGGAGACTATATTTACTCTGACACCGGGGTTGATATCCATTTATCACTTGCTATCATATACCTGATATTGATTTGACCATGGTATAGATATCATTACATACTTGTTTATGTTTTCGTTGCCATGATGATAATCATGATCGGTAATATGAAGATCTTACGGGAAGCACACTAGACAACAGCAACGCCAAAGCGTAGCAAATCCCATCGAGCAACAATGGCTGACAGCATTTTTACAAACGAAATATATAGCAAATATCTTAAAATAACACACATAACAAAGGATTTTTAAAATGGCCACCTACTACCCGAAATGTCATGAGACAGTGTGCAAGGCTCATGAGTATTCACATATCAAATATGAACAAAATCGCTCCACTACTTTCCTAGTTACAGCAAAAAATCGTAAAATGACGTGCAAAGACAGCCATTTTTCAAGATGGCTGCCGTGTATTTCTTATAAATTTACATTTCTAGCTTAATTAATGTCCTATATAACATTTAAACATATTGCTATTACAGTTTTGTATAAATTACTGTAGAATCAGCACTAAAATGGCTGCCATTTTTCAGCAAGCGGCCATTTTGAAAATCGGCTTTAGAATAGAACTTGTACTCCCATAGGGCACATGTGTGCAAAATGAACAACATTGGGCGGTATTTGAGTTATCACCCGGACAGACGTATGTACGGACGGACGGACGGAACCGTTCCCTATATCCTTCCGAACTTGGTTCGATGGGATAATAATAAAGGGATTGCTTTCAATCAAGACCTGATATTGTCATTTGATAATACGATTGATAGTAAGTCAGGTATTATGGCAAAATCATATTATTTCATCGTAATGGGCGTGATCAAGTTGACGTCATATACGCACATAATCAGAGTCTACGTTGACAATTATCTACCGTGGAATATTTAAAGTTTATTGTCGGTGGTTTTTGGTCTGAATCATATTGTTGGCGATTATCTCTGACCATAAATGCCATAGATGACCATGGTCAATCATGGTTAAAAGTATGTTATTTTGTATCTATAATTCTTAGATAGATTGAATGAAATACTTATGCTTAATAACTTACCTTATTATCGCATCCTAGGGTGCTATATTGTGATCAGTTTGACAGGTGGATTGGCGGGCGGACGGGTGGTCAGTCGGTCAGTTGGTCAGTCGAATGGGAGTCCTGATTTTTGTCTACAGGTTTCAAGCCAATCCGTAAGAGGGAATCATCTGAAATGGGATGTTTCTATCTCCAAAAGTTTAGAACTGATCAGTTTTGGAGCATTCTGGGTAAATGTTTTTAATCAATATTATATCATAAATACAAACAAATATACAATGGATAGACGGGGTTTGGGCAAATCGCGCCCTCCGGCATTTCATGTCCCTATATAAACATTTACAATAGAGAGCATATGCAAGATTGAAATAGCTAGAATTTGGACAAACACAAAAAAATACAACTTATAATTCTGTAAAGAAAATGGATGAAGTTGCTGCTGCCTGAAGACATAACTGCTACCAGCTTTACCTATGAGTTCAGTGCCAATGCCTGAAGACATAACTGCCACCATCTTTACCTATGAATTCAGTGCCAATGCCTAAGGACAAAACCCCTACCGTCTCTACTTGTGAATTCAGTGCCAATGCCTGAAGACATAAATGCCACCATCTTTACCTATGAATTCAGTGCCAATGCCCGAAGACATAACTGCTACCATCTCTACTTATGAATTCAGTGCCAATGCCTGAAGACATAACTACTACCATCTCTACTTATGAATTCAGTGCCAATGCCTGAAGACATAACGGCCACCATCTTTACCTATGAATTCAGTGCCATTGCCTGAAGACATAACTACTACCATCTTACCTATGAATTCAGTGCCAATGCCTGAAGACATAACTGCTTCCATCTTTACCTATAAATTCAGTGCCAATGCCTGAAGACATAACTGCTTCCATCTCTACCTATAAATTCAGTGCCAATGCCTGAAGACATAACTGCTTCCATCTTTACCTATAAATTCAGTGCCAATGCCTGAATACATAACTGCTTCCATCTCTACTTATGAATTCAGTGCCAGTGCCTGAAGACATAACTGCTACCATCTCTACTTATGAATTCA